ATTCTTCTCTCCAGACTCAATTTCAGGTTAATATTTTCATATTCTACTTGTCTGTCAGCTGTTTGTTTGAAGTGATTTAAGATATCCCAGTGTAGCCACAGGAACTGAGGGCTGTGCGGATTTCACTGGTTAAAGGGAGGGGGGAATAATGGGGAAGGCACCATGGGAAAATAAACTGCAGTCAGTGATCCCTGTATGCAACACAATCCCTTCTCAAACCTCCTGTTTATGGATGTTGGGATTTTCTATTTGCAAGTGTGACATATTTCTCAAACAGATCACATGACTGATTGTCAAAGCAGAGGTGGTTTTCATGCAACAAAATTTGACTTTTTTTTTCTTCTTAAAGGCACTATCATATGATTTGTTGATTTAAGTGACATGTTCAAGTGCAGGCAAATACTTAACCCAGTCTCACTATCAGTCAAAAAAAAATTGATGGAGCATCAGCTGTCTGCAGAAACAGTGGTGTATCATTAAGTCATTAGTCATTAGTTTTGTTTGACAAGGCAAGAGTTATCACTCTTCCTAAAGAAGTAGGTTAGATTAGAAGGTTAAAGTTCTTCTGGTGGTTTAGTTCTGGAAAGCACTTGTACTTAAGCCATAAAAGTGCTATTCAAACACAATCATACCTGTTATTACAGATAATGAATAAGTTATTAAGCTCAGGTTTTATACGCCACACATATGGCGAAGGGTGATATTCAAAGCAGAGCAGAACTCCGACTTAATAAAACACATCATTGGGCGACTTGAATTATAATCCGACTCCGCCCGTAAAGCCGACACTGGTGAGCTGAGAATGTGTCACAGCAGAACTCAGCAAAGTGGATGGAGCTGATAAAGCTGGATTGTCTGGCTTTAATCAGAGCCAGATGTGGTCAGGCCCTCGCCATGGTGGTCTGACCGCATCTGCAGCGTCAGGGGGAGGGAATGGGAAGGTAGGGAGGGCCGGGGAGGGGGCACAGCTGGATGACCTTTGACCCAGAGTAGCGAACCACGAGCCAAGGCTGTCAACTGCCATGGACGAGGCAGGGGGACCTGCTAACGTCTCCTTGCGTGGTTTACGACGCGGCTCAAAGGATTTGTCCCACGAACACATCGAGTCCCGGCCTCAGCTGCTTTCACATCACACTCCACAGAGTTATTGTTATTGTTATTTATAGTTTATATTCACATTTCTTAAGGTTCCAGCTCCTTCCTTGTCAGAAGTCTCTTTGCGAAATGTTTTACGATTGTGTAAAGCTAAACTGTCAGGAGATAATGGTTATCTCTCCTTCAGCCAGAAATGAAATATATAGCTTT